ATTAAGAGGATCCTAAACCCTAGATCAAACTCCAAAAATCCGCTGTTTTACCTACAATTTGTGAGTATGTATGCGTGCGATATTGATGTAGTAGTGTGTAGTGATGTGTCATGTTTACTACCACATCAATATATCTCACGCATACATATACACAAATCTGTTGGTTACTAATATATTTTTATTTAGGTTTCTATAATACTTAATTCTAACGACTCACATATATTCATTTCTTTATTGTACATCAGGCTCTGCCTTCATTTTGAGCATATAACCTGCCTAACTTTTCCACGAAGTAAACGTTTTGGTAAATTGATAGCACTAGTCGCCATGTTGAGGTTAAAATGGATAACGAAATCTGTAATTATTTCATTTTTTCCCGTTTTTGGTACAAAATGCACCAAAGCCAGATACATTAGCATGTGTGTTTTAATCGTGGAAAAGGAAATTTTATTCTATGCGATTAATACGACGTAATTAGTAACCAACAAAAATAATATTTTTGTCGGTGAAACAGACGACTATAACATCCTCTTAAGAGAATGCTGTAGTTGTCTGTTTTACCGACAAAAACATTTTGTACAATGTTTATTTGTATTGTATACTGCTTTTACAGATTTTGCTTTTACAAAAATCCTTTTCCAGATTTAAAGTCTATATAATATAGTCAATATAAATAAAATGCAAATAAAATAATTTTGAATTTTGTTTGTATAATAAAAGATTTTAAAGTAAAGTTTTATACTTTGTACGTACGAAACAAATTTCAAACGCACTTGCGCTTATATAAAAAATATAGTATCAATACGATACTATATTCTATCAATGCGATGATATGCACATATATATACATACATATTAAGTGTATATCCTTTGAATATCTTTAAAGTCAATTGAAATGTCTGGTATAAAAAAAATAAAACTTACACAAAAGAGGATCCAGGCGTTCTTTAAAACTTCTGCTTCGTTTGATCCTTTCTATATCACTCTCTGCGTCGGTATCTAGCATGGTTTCCCATTCGGAAGGATCGTGAATGCGATCTTTTCGTAGGTCCAGAGTGTTTTCGCACTCACCATTCCGTTTTTCCACATTGTCATACGAAGAGTTTCGGTCGCTATATAACGATTCACATGTGTCTGATGGCTTTAACAATTCCGGATATCTAAAGAAAATTTCGAACATTGAATCTTGTTGATTACATTCAAACATATTACATTCCTTGACTGTAACTATTTAGAAAAATTTCAATCTGATAACTTTTGTCTTCCATCGTTATGTTATTATTAACATCTAGATATAAAACAATTCAATCACAAAATAAATATAACATTTTTTTGTGATACAATAAGAAAGTTAAATTTTAATAAGTCCTTTATAATGTTTTAAGAGTATTAGCATCATTATTATTAAATCAATTTAATTTGTAATATTACAATTGCAGCTTCAGTTTTTGAATTTTAAAATCGAGAGTAATCGACGCAGTTTGTAGAACTGAAAAATGTATGTTATTCATATATCGGTAATAATTTCACTTATTATTGAAATTTTAATGTAAAAAAATATGTTCAAAAATCTAAAATACAATGTCTTTATATAGACTTATTATGAAATTATTCGTTTTTTGTTTATGTTAGAAAACTTACCGTTGCAAAATAATATTCTGAACAGTCAGAATGTTTCCAACAATGTTTCTATTACATTCCTCATTACCTAGAAATTTTGCGACGTTGTCATCATTATAATCAGCATCACAGTCATAGTCTGGTTCGCAATCTGGCTCTTCGACCTCATTTCCTAAAAAATAATTAAAAGTAATTAAAAAATTGATCCTAATGTATCTAATATCTATTTAAAATAATAATTTAATAAATATTTAAAATTTTAATAGATAGATGATTGAATTCTTTTTCTTAATTTTAATTTACTCTTTTTATGTAAATATAATATATAATTTTTTAAAATAAATAGTATTAAAACAGTTAAAGGACATACATATGATTTTTCAGAAATATTTATAAAATCCTTGTATTTTATCCCCTTTGATTATTTAATGTGATTTATAACGTCTTAAGAACTGATTTTTTCAAATATTATATATCTTCTACAATATACTTGTTAGTTATTCTATTAAAACATTGTAGAACGTCGTAAAGTGCAGTAGAAACATAGCAATTATATTCTGTTTAGAACATACCAATAAATTCCCAGCTAGAATCTACCGCCCAAGAAGTGTCATTAAATACTTTGGTCTTGATCTTCGGTGGTTGAACAGGTTTCGCCCGAGAAATCTTCTTTATCTCCTTAGTTTGAGTTAATCTTTTCGTTAGGTTGTCGACTGACGACGAGATTAATGGCGTCTTATCCTCGGTCTCTTCAGAGGGCTCCTCCCAGCAATCAATAGGATGCAATTGATTAGTATTATTCCCTGTCGAAGTTTGTAACCAACCTGGTTCACTGTGCCGGTACTTGTTCATTGCTGGATTATTTTTGGTTGGCCGTCTTCTCGGAATAACGGTGTTTTGCACAATGGCATCAGCTGGTTCCGCATAGAAAGGACTACTCTGTTTAGATTCAGAAGCCTGAGGACTATTGCTCTCCGACTTCACCAAAACAAGACCTAATTTGTTTCTTGGAGGCGTCATTGTGTTGGGACTATTCAATGAGTTGGCACTGCCTGCGAAAAGAATTTTTAATCTCAAAATCTTTTTAAAAAACAAAAGAAGTTTAATATTAAAAAGTTTAATAACGAAAATAGACAAAAATAGAAATTATCACCTAGAACTATGACTTAAAAACTAGTAGTCAAAAGAAACATTATTAATCTAAAATTTAATGTAATATTTGTTACACATATATGTTATTCTTTATTATTAATAAAATTTAATAATACAATAAAAAAAATTATATAAAACTTCATGCTTTGATAATATTTAATTATAATACTTAATATTAATTAAATTAATAAAATTTCTATTTTTGTATAATTATAAATTATTATCTCTATATTAACTTTAAGTATTAAGCTATTATTTTAAGTAATAATTTTTTTATATTAATCTAATAAATTCTTACAAACTCTAGATAGCAGATCGGGTCTTTTCCCCACAGCCTCCTCGAACGAGTTCTGGTCAGGACTTTTCATCTCCGGAACAGGTTTAAAACTACTAAGTTCCGGACTCATCATTTCTTTGTATCCCATTTTATCATTTTTTAGGATGAATTTGTCCTTCTTCAGAACCATCTGTTCTCCTACTGGTAACCTTTCATTGATAAGACTCTTTTCGGATTCTCTGGGACTCATCAGATGGTCATTAGAATTGTTGACACAATCTTGCGGGGTGTAAGCGAACCTGTTATTTTTCAATCTATCATTCCAGGTCGACTGTGTCGATTGGTCAGTCGTGTTCCAGATGTCTTCGTAATCGGAAATCTTATCGGCCGGCGAACTACGATAATACGAGTCCAAAATGTCCGATTCTTGATAGTGTTGGGAGTTTTTTCGGTTCTCACGATCGCGCCGCCTTTTTGATTTACTGGTGCTAGAAGGAGTATTTGGAGAGAGCATGTTGGGTATTTTTGGAATCAGCTTTGAGGTAGGGGATAAAACCGGAGTGGTAGGCGAAAGGGGTGATTTGATAGAAAAATTGGAATTAAGAGATTTATTAGATTGAGGACTCAACAGTGACGTGTTGGGATCCGACGGTGTGTTTTGCTGTGGGCAAACAGAAAGAGAAAGAAATGAAAAAATTGCGATTATTTTAATAAACAAAAATGACTTACAATTTTTTAGTTATTAATTACATTAATTTGTATAACAACAACAATAATTAACGTAAAACTTGATGTAATATTTAATAAAGAAATATAAACAAGCGTAAGAGAAAAATAGATATAAAATAAATATGTAAAATTAGATATAAAAATTAATTACATTGAAAATTTAATATAATTAAAATTAATTAGAAGATATAAGATAAAATAAAAATATAAGTAATCATAAAAAATAAGTTATTATAAAAAAAATTATTCAGTAATTATTAATTACAATTAATTATGTGTAAAATACAAATTTGTTAAAAGAGAATTTTGTAATTATGAAGTTTTGTAAAAGAATGCGCTTTTAATTGTACCTGTGAAGTGTTCAAACTGTTGCCTTGATTCACATTAAATGTTACTGTCGTAGTCACGGTAAAATTGTTCTGATTCTGATTAATGCCGGGTTTGGCCCATCTTGGCGGCGGCGGCGGCGGTGTCTTCATGTTTTGCCTAGCTCCTTGATTCTCGACAATGATATTCCTATCTACCAATTCTGGTGATGTGGCGCACGATAGATTGTTTTGATGAAAACTCGAGATGGACGTGAACTTTCCTGAACTCTTGGTAAATTCAACTGTCGTCAATTTTAACGTATCCAGACCGTTTTTTGGAGTGTCAAAATTCCTCATATCTTGAGGACTCAATACGTTTTTTTCCACGTTGTGCACTACTGGCGAAGGACAACGCACACTTTGCACAAGATTTGGCGAGATTAGTTTGTGAGATAGTTTGTCACCTGGAGGCGAGATTCGGTCCTTTTTGGTATCATTCAAAGGTTCGTTGAAAGTTGTCAGATTGAGAGTATTTGGCGGAGTTGGACGTGGCTGACGCGGCAACGATGATGCAAATGTCGAAGCAATCGCGTTAACAGTATCCGTTGGAGAGGGGGTATCTATACATAAAAATAAATTAAAGTAACAGATCATTTTGAGACTTTTTTGGAATTATTTTTTAAAGGAATCTATAAAAATCTTTTCTGACTTTTGAAAATTATGATAATTTTAAATATAAATTAAAGGTAATGTAAGGAGAAATTGTGTCAAGTATCTAATCGATATCAAACATAAATTAAGAAGCTATTTAAAAACGATAAATGTGATCAAAATTATAATAAGAAATGGAATTTCCACTTTTCTTTAAGCTAATTTATTCTAATTGTGTTATTTTTGAAGTATGTTAAATTATTTAATCCTTTAGTTAATAAAACATTGCCTTATAAATATAATATTTTAATCTATGCCATATTATATATTCTTTAATTCCTAACATTTTATGTATATAATTATAATAATAATTAAAAAATAATAATTAAACTATACGTGCATACAGACGTGCATACGTATACAGTGTCCGAAAAGTGTGATAACCCCTTAATATATTTCGGAAACTAAGCGTTTTTGAGAAAAATGTTTTAATTAAAAGTTGACCTTGCGTGGCGTCGTTACTGTCGTCAGGGTCAGGTCAAGGTTTCATCAATTTTTTAAAATAAAACACCCTACTTTTGGTTCCGGAATCTAACAATAAGTTGGTGTCAAGAGCTTTTCAAAGCACTATAATAAAGTACTTTTTGGTTAAGTAAATCTCGAGTTATGAAGCATGAAAGTTACAGTACCACCAACATTATCATCCGAGGTATCCAAACAATGGCTGAAACTTTTTGATGTTCAGAATCATAACTTTGACAACATATGTCAAGATCAAGGCCATTAAAAGTTGTTGCTCGTATTTTCATTTTTAAAAATTTTTATTTTTTGAAGAAAAGAGGAACAACCTCCAATAATCCTTGATCTTGACATATGTTGTCAAACTCATAATCCTGAACAACATTCAAAAGGTTTTAGCCTTTATTCGGACACCTTGGATATAATGCTAATGCCGGCAGAACTGTAACTTTCAAGCTTTATAACTCGAGATTAACCAAAAAGTATTTTATTATAGTGCTTCAAAAAGCTCTTGACACAAGCTATTAGATACTGAAATCAAAAATTGTTCCATTTAAAAAAATTAATATGACGTTGACCTGACCTTGGCGACGCCACCCAAGGTCAAACTGATAAAATCATTAAATAGACTCTTTTAAGTCCTACAACTTTTGTCTAACAATAAAACATTTTTCTCAAAAACGCTTAGTTTCCGAAATATTAAGAAGTCGCCACACTTTTCAGGCATCCTGGATATTCACAAATAATTGTGTGGATGTGTTTACTTTTTTATTACATTTATTTTAAAAAATTTGGAACTAGTGTGCACGTGTATGTAAAAATATATTAAGAGTATTAAAAATCATTTATATCTAGATAAATATATGTATATGTATTAAATTTAAAATAAAAAAAATAAAATTAATAATTTAATTAAAAAAAATTTTATAGATAAAAAACTTTCTATAGTAAAAGAATATAAAAGAAGTTATATAATTTTAATTAAAAAATAGAAATTTTTGTAATAATCACTGTATAACAAATTCAAAAAAATATGCTATAAAAATAAATATTGTAGAATATCAATGTCTTACGTATATTATAAGACGATATTGGAGCCAAGTTAAGCACTATGCTCTCCGTGGTAGGTGTATCCACGTTGTTATTATTGTTAATATGATGGTTATTATTACCTGCAAATAAAAAATTATGCTATAAATATTTCTATTTATAATTTTTAACTTTGTAAATTATTTAGAATATCTAAGTTTAATTAATGAATAAAAATAACAAATGTTTAATTTACAATAGACTTTTTAATTATTAAAAAATCGTGATTTATTAGAAAATAATTTTAAATTTATTTGTAAATTTTTTTTTATTATTTGTATTTACTTGTACCTCATTGATTTTGAAATTATTTATGCAAATCATTAAGAAACTTACCTCCATGAAAACTACTTAGACTAGATGTATTGCTGCTGCTGCTTTCTGGTGGTTTCGGATTTGCCATTGGATATCGCCAAAATTCTTGGCCCAGCAATGCCAGCGACGACAATTGCTGCCTATTTTTTGCTTCTCGCATCGCTCTCGGTAAAGTCAATTGCACTGGCAGTTCGTCACTGTTTGCGAAACAAAAATAAATATAGATCAACTAAATTATTGTTATTTAAATTAATTCTATATAAACATTATATATAATATTGGTATAATAAATAAATAAGTAAATTCATATATATACAGGGTGAACCATTTTAATTCATCCAGTCGAATATCTCGAAAATCAAGCCCGGGAGAGAAAAATTTTTCAGACAAAAGTTGTTTGGTTTCAAAGATGGTACCATTGGTTTGACCTTGAAGAATTATTTGAAAGTCACATGAAAGTCACCTCAATTTTTTTAAATGGCATTCCCTATTTTTTATTACATATTCTTGTAGCTGACCTCGAGAGCTTTCCAAACCACTATAATCAAATGTTTCTTCATTGAATACTTTTCGAGTTATAAAGCTCCAAAGTTGCAACCTCGAGAGCTTTCTAAAACACTCTAATCAAATGTTTCTTCATTGAATACTTTTCGAGTTATAAAGCTCCAAAGTTGCAACTTTGGCGCTTTATAACTCGAAAAGTATTCAATGAAGAATCATTTGATTATAGTGTTTTGGAAAGCTCTCGAGGTCAGCTACAAGGGACCATAGGATGGTACCATTGGTTTGACCTTGAAGAATTATTTAAGTCACATAAAAGTCACCTCAATTTTTTTAAATGGCATCCTCTATTTTTTATTACATATTCTTGTAGCTGACTTCAAAAGCTTTCCAAAACACTATAATCAAATGTTTATTCATTGAATACTTTTCGAGTTATAAAGCTCCAAAGTTGCAATTTTGGAGCTTTATAACTCGAAAAGTATTTAATAAAGAAACATTTGATTAAAGT